TTTTAAAATGATATAGTTTACTTTTAGTATCAGTGGAAAAGCTCGATCATGGGTGCTTTTCTATACAAGTGAAGTGGAAATCAGTGAGAATGAACAAAAATGCTACTTACAGATGCCAGTTGTCCTACAGAACCAGGCTATATGAAAAATATGAATTTTTGGTGTTTACAACAATGTACCGGTAATCCCCTACATAGTACTGTAGATATTTTAGTATTGAATGATAATCCTAGCACAGGGGTTTTGGAGAGGAGTCAGAGGTAGTCAGTCCTGGGCATTAATTGGATGCATGGTTATGCTAATACAAGAAACAAACTTGAGGTGACCTTTATTTTTTTTTTAAAAAATAGCCTTTGTTAAAAATGGACCTTACATCTCTATACTTGAGTACCTTCACTAGAAATGTCAATTCTGAAGTCATTGCTGTGCCAAACTACTTTCTAGTGTAGGCTGCACTTCTTCTTTCTTTGTGGTATGCTTTTAAATATCAGAAGTTCACTTTTTCAGGGAATCCCCTATTGAAAATTAAAGCTGACTATGATGAGTAATGACTTATCATGCTCTCCCTTGGGATGACAGCAAAGACGTACAGCGGCCAAACATATTTTCATTTCCTTTCTTTTGGTGGCAATATAATACGCAGTCACAAAAAAACTTTAATGCTGTTTGTTTGCAGTGAAAAAGTAAAAGAGATTATAACATTGAGTGATTATAATGATGGACATACTGTAGATCAGGGGTAGTCAACCTTGGCTCTTTTATGACTCGTGGACTTCAATTCCCAGAATTCCTGAGCCAGCTTAGCTGGCTCAGGAATTCTGGGAGTTGAAGTCCACGAGTCATAAAAGAGCCAAGGTTGACTACCCCTGCTGTAGATCAAGGACACCAGGTTCAAATCCTTGGCCACCATACATTGCATTGTTTCCTTTATGCTATCTTTCTTGTATAATTTGATGCGCACAAATCAATAGGAAAACCAATCTTGTTCCCTTTAATTGAAAGGTAGCTAAAGTACACAGCCAGTTTTGTTCAGTTTATAATTATCAGGGCCAATTGTTCACATGTTTCTAAGTTTTTGGGTTAAAGTCAATGATGCCATTCGATTTCCATTATTTTTGTATTTCCCAATTGCTTTTATACAAGCATATGTTTAGCCTTCTATGTTTATTGAGCTTTTAGAAGATCTAGAAGTAATCTAGATTACTATTAATTTCTATGCTGCTGAAGTATTTCATCTTTAGCAAGAAGTAATTGGACTTGCTGAATAACTGTGGGCACATCCTTCTCTCCCTCCACACATATTAATTAATCAGAATAGAGGTGAAAAGGATCTTGGAGGTCTTCTAGTCCAACCCCCTGCTCAAGCAGGAGATTCTATACCAGGGGGTGTCAAACTCGCAACGTCACGTGACGTGTCGCGACCGTATCGTGACTTTTTTTCCCATTGTTGGCAATGGGGTGGGCATAGTTTTGGCATGACGCATCCGGCCCGTGGGCCGGCAGTTTGACACCCCTATTCTATACCATTTTAGACAAGTGGCTGTCCAATCTCTTCTTAAAAACCTCCAGTTATGAAGCATCCACAGCTTTTGATGGCAAGCTGTTTCACTGGTTAATTGTTCTCACTGTTAGGAAGTTTCTCCTTAATTCCAGATTGCTTCTCTCCTTGATTAGTTTCCATCCATGGATCTCGTCTTGTCTTCTGGTGTTTTGGAAAACTTCTTCTGTGCTTTAAACGTATTCAAGTTACACTTTCATGGTCTACTAAGATAGGAGTGACATTAACAAAAAAAAATTCCAGTATCTCTATGCAAGCTTATTGTGTGTTTTGCCGAGAAGGTTTTTGTTCTCTTTTTCTGAATAGTGGAGAGACAAGGTTCTCTGACACAACTATACCCACCCTTGATGAAGTTTCTTGGATGAGAAAGGGCGTTGTCTTACCTGAACGCCTATTCTCAGCATGATGATGGTTAAGATAACGCATTGGTGAATTCTCCATCCAATCATGCTGGATTCTCAAGGAAAAAAACATAGTCCAGTTGCCTTTTGAAAAAACACTTTTGAGACAACTACACCCAGAGTTATTCTCTGCTGATTTCCTATATTGGTGTGGTTACCGTTCACAGCTGACCACACCGCCCCCATAGAATTCTACAGAAAATAAAATTATCACTCATAGTTATATTGAGAGAAATGGTGTTTTGTGAAATACGTAAAGAGGACAGATGAATTATAGAAAGGACATTGGCTGGGCTTAAACCTTCTCAGATGCCCTGATATTGTAGCAAAATGATCTAGGGACTTTGAAACAAGTTGTAAGCTGAATAGTTTGGGTGTTGGAATGCAAACCAAAATCCATATTAGTCAAAAGAAGCTTTAGTGGCCTCTCAGTAAGTATGGTAAGTCTTACATAGAAAAAGAGAAGATATAGGAAAAAGCAAGTGAGTAGAATTCTTATTTTTTCTTGAATTCTAGCATCACTTTGGAGTTTTGAGTTGGTCTTTGGCAGCTGAAAAAAAGGCAAGAGACAGTAAGCAATATAGAAATGCAAAACATTGTACAACATTGATGTTGTAGTCCTTACACTGTATGTTGCAGATCAGGGCTCCCTAACCTCTGGGTCACAGCCAAGTACCAGGCCACGCAAACGATGGGCAAATGCATGCATGCATTCAAAGCTCCCCTTTCATGAGTGGAGGGCACTCCTACCACTTGCACCAATGGAGCTGTGTGTGCACGTGTACACCTGCCACTCCCACACACACCGCACCCTGGGAAGGGCCACCAAGGTGGAAAGGTTAGGGACCACTGTTGTAGAAGACTTCTGTTTTTTCTTCTGGGGCTGCTGGGTCTTTTAGCTTACTTAGGATGTTTTGGTGAGCTTTAGTTGGTTTGTGTGTCATGGTGATACCATGTGTTCTGACCCAGCCTTCGCAAGTAATGAGAAACCGCTTACTCGCGAGTAAAACAAACTCTTTTATTAAAATAGGAACTATCTTTGTTCACATTGGGTAGACAAAACCAAAAAGTAGTAGTCACAAAGGAAAGTCTTTTCTCCTTCTGACATAGGGCAAGAACAGTCTCCGTTCACTTGAGAACTCCAGATAGAAAGTCTTTCAAGGATTAAGCCAAGCAGAAACAGTACCTGTTCACACCGGCTGAGGCAAATTCACTATCTATTATTTCCCTGCAGGGAGACTTAGTTGGCACCTCAAATATAGAGCAAGTAGTCCCAACAAACCTAGTTCTGGTAAAGGAACCCAACTTGATTGATGTACCCTGGAAAACGAATGGTTGTCTGCGACAACAGGCCACTCCCAAATGCTTACTATTTATTTCCCAGCCAGAGAGGGGCTGCCAATGTCTACGTCTTCTTTTCTCTGAGAGCCGGCTTATTGCCTTTTGTTGCTCTCCTCTCCTCATTATGTATATGCACATCTGGGAGTGGCCCCATCTGTTCCTCCTCCTCACTCATCTCAGGCCCCGAAGACAGCTGCCTCTCCGCCTGGATGTGGACAGACAGCCCCAGCTCTGCATCTGCCTCTGATTCTGCTTCCTCATCAGCGCCTTCCAAAGGCTCCAAAGTTAACCCAGGCTCCTTCTTCTGACTCTGCTGCTAGCTCTGCTGGCAGCCGATGGACCACAACACCATGTGGCTGTTGGTAGTTTCTGACATGTTTTTGATGTATAACAGTGTTATCCTTTTCACGGCTTGTGTTGGTTGTATACATTGGGTTGAGTGATCAGGCACTTTTTGTTAAAGCTGAGTGAATATACATTTTGTTAGAAGATGTGTAGATGACCTGTCTCCTTTTTCTGATATTCAGGGTTGCTGCAGTGTGCTTGTACTCATCTAAATAGTGTTCTTATTGGGCTTCTCTTGTGGAAAGTTAGATGTTGTTACCTGGTTTGATAATGAAAAGTTTGCAAGAAAACAACCAAGCTCAGAGAGCACCAAGGACCCCACATATATTTAATATGGTTCCTATCAGACCATGCATGCATGTAGATACATATGCTCTATCCTTCGATTTAACCAACATGAGTACTCTGCCTACTAATGTCCATCATAGAGGTTTTCCATAGGAGACTATAGTTGAGCATATGGAGATATCATTTCTGCATATCATCAAGACCCATATAGATTGTTTTATCTAAGAAAAACATCTAAATTGCAAGCTCTGTAAATGTGGATTTTTTAAAAAAATAATCACCTTTTGCAACCTTCTGACATGCAAAGTCAGTGGGGAGCCAGATTCACTTTACAACCATGTTATTAATTTAACAACTGCATTGATTCACTTAAGAATTGTGTCAAGGAAGGTTGGGGCAAAACTCAACAAATGTCTCGCTTAACAAGAGAAATTTTGGGCTCAGTTATGGTTGTAAGTTGAAGACTACCTGTACTGGAGACATTGTGTACTTAGTGAAAGCTTTCCTTCACACTACATTGTATTAAGGGGGAAAATACAAGGTACATCTGCTCTGTGGAACATCTCCCCCCCCCCCGAGGTAAGATTGGCTCCCATCCTTCTGACCTTCCATAAGAGCCGAAGACCTGGCTTTCCCAGATGGTTTGGGGGCCCAGCGGCAGAGTATCACACTGGAGGTGGTTGATGAATTAAGAAGCAATTTCACCTCTCTCCCTTCCCATCTTTTAACCATAATTTTATCTTTGTTTCTAATTCCATTTTTATCATTTTAGAATAATTTATCTTCTATGGTTTTCATGCGGTACGCCACCCAGAGCCTTTTTGAAACAAGATGGTTGGCAAATAAATCTAATAAGTAAATCAATAAAGGCAGTCATCACGGAGTGGACTTACAGTTTTATTCATTTGATTCTATTACATGATGATATCTCAATATATTGGTTAATTCATTCTCCTCTCTTTTCTCCCACGTTATTTCAAAGTATATTTGTAAGAAGAACCTTGAAGAACAGACATAGGTCATATTTTTTTTGTTTCCATTTATGTGTGTATATTTTTTCTTCTTAGGCATTCTCAGTCAAGAAGTAACCAAAGTTGCAGTCCAAGCAGGAGATGAAGCCAGGCTTCCTTGCAAAATCACTATAAGCACACTTCTAGAATCTTACTACATCTACTGGCAAAAGCCTACTATCCGTGGTAACCGAGACAAGGTTGTGATTTCGTTCAAGAATGGTAAAGAATGTGAACCGGAGAAGGACAAATCTTACAAGAACAGATCAAAGATAGATAAGCAGAATCTTACACTTTTAATCTCCTCAGTGGCAATAAACGATAGTGGAACATATAAATGTATTGCCATATTGCAAAATCACAGAGAAGGGGAAGCGTTAATCGATTTATCTGTGATAAGTAAGTGTTAATCTACTGACACAACTTCTTTAAATTGTGTGTGTGTGTGTGTGTTTCTTTGTATAATTTTATTAAAGAGTTTTTAAAAGGAAGATAAAACTAATACAAACTAATATAAGAAAAATAGGAAAAAGAAAGAAAAAGAAAGCTAAAAATGCAAGAGAAAAAACTCTGGAATGCAGTATACAATAAATTATAAAATGTGTATTAGAGACCAGGTAGGCCATGAGTTCTAGTGCCATCATAGGCACAAAGCCAGCTGGGTAACTGAAACAATCACTATAAAATCACAATATTAACGCCATCCTTTGCAGTATACACATACATTCTCAGTACATATTTCATATGTGAATGCTCCAACATTGAAAGTTTTAAGAAGAGACTGGACAGCCATTTGTCTGAAATGGCTTCCTGCCATTTGTCTAAAGGTTTCCTGCCTGAGCAGGGGGTTGGACTAGGGGACCTCCAAGGTCCCTTCCAACATCATCATCATCATCATCATCATCATCATTATTATTATTACCAAATAACTAATTAAATAAGTTTTCACTGCTGTTCAATAAAGATTAATAATGAAGATGCTGTCTTATTTTGGGAAAACATTTGCACAGAAGGAGAACTTGGCAGAGTTGCCTGAAATGTTTAAGAGAATTTTCTTAAATTCAGGATAATGACACGAAATTTAGGGGAAAAGTCTTCGTGTGTACAGGTCTGCTTGAACAAATTCCAATAATATCAAATTCCTTTTTCCATATAAGTCATATTCTGTAATATCTTATTATCTTTTCTGTGTCTTCCAGCTCCATTCAGTAAGCCTATCATCCTGGACAATTTGTCCAGTGAACGTTGTGACTCAACAAATTTGACACTGAGGTGTTTGTCTCATGGAGGTTCTTCAAGGCCAGAGATGTTTGGATTTATCAATAAAAAGGCAGTGAATTGGACCTCAACTGTCACAAGCAACAAAGAATTGTTTAATATTACTGGCACTTTGCAGTTAAACACGACAGAAAACATGTTGGTCGAATGTTTAGTTCGTTTTTCAGATTTCCATGTGTCAACCAACTATAGCTTGAGTAAGTTCCCTCCATTTTATGTAAAGGCAATCTTATTTGATTGTATAACATAATAATTGAGTAAATGACAAAACACAAAACTATTTGAATTAATCATAATTAAATAAAAAATCTTATTTTTGTATGAAAATTGCTACTGTGGTTAGGGAAAAAATGAATTGGATCCAGAATTACTCATTTTAGTCACACAAAATAATAAATGACTCACAGTGCATTGATTTAAATTGATTTATTCTAGATAAAGGTCAGCCTGGCTCAATTGTATATTGCCATTGTTCTTTCTAACCATTCATTACTACCCATTTATTATTTCCTATTTGATCAGTTAAAGAGTTGCTTCTGCACTTTATTAAATCTTTGAGAGGCAGTAGAAATGCTAGCAAACATTAGTAGTTATAACTATTAATTAAACTAGTGAAAACAGTATTGAATGCAGCTTGAAGTCAATTTGAATACTGTGCCCTTTTTGATGTATGGATATAGCTAATATTCTTCCTGAGTTTCAGCTTGCAGTATGTTACCATTTTGCTTAGCATGCAATATATGGAACATATTTGTTCTAATCTCAACTGGTTCCATCAGTGAAAAGGAAGGGAGGGAGGGACAACCTTGCACTATTCCACAGCTCTGTGTTTCACCAGTCACTGGAGAAGTGGGGGGGGGGAGAGCTCCCCAATCAAGCATTCTTCAGAAAGGGGAAGGCAATTCTGCAGCCCAGCCAAAATGCTATGGAAAAAGTGACCAGTGATTGCAAAGGAGGGGTTCCAGCCACAGTGAACAGTGAACAGATAAAGGAAAATATAGCAGGAGGACAAGATGGCACCACTGTTTCAGCATTAATTGGGAAAAAAACATTAAGAGAGAAAAAAATGCTTTCATTGTGTTGGGGGACAGAGGACAATGTTTTGCGTTCCTGTAGCTGAGAAACATTTAGCAGCCTATACTTGTATGGGGGCAATCTACTGATGCAAATCCATATATAGCTAACAGTAGTTTACACCATTTACTTATATCCTGCATAGGTTTCTAATCTTGTTTTCACTATATGGCTATGCTATTTCATGTTATCTTTTGGGGTTTTTTAAGCTTTTCTCTTCTTTCTTTTTGGTTATACAAATACAACCTTCTTGGATTCCCCCCTTTTTATTTTTTGCTTCTTAACCCTTTTTTTTTCAAAATTTCTTCTTGTTTAAATTCGCATAGCACTTTAAGCTTCATAAGGTTCATATCATTCTGCTGTATCATAGAACTAATTATTTCTTCACTGTGGGGCTGGGTTTTTTTCAATAATACTTCCAACTTTTATTTCAGATATGACAAAGAACTGTTCTAATATTACATTGCCACCATTGCCACCATTGTCACCATTGCCACCATTGATTTCTTCACCTTTTGGGATCATCATTCCTTCAACGGCGATCCTGATTTTCCTTCTAGTTGTGGTAATGCTTGTAATACTCCAATACTATTGTAAGTACTGATGTCTCTATCACTAGCTGATGCACTGTTGAGATCCAATATGAAATGTTAGAATAATTATCAATGAGGGCACAGGGCCACAATAGATTCTGAGAATATGCAGTCCTGTACAATTGCCCCTTCCCCATTTTCTGAAAGCTCATCAGCTTTCAGCAACTTTACCCAGGAATATTATGAGATCCCAAGTGAGAATGATGAAAGCTTATGATATATCAAAGGAGATTATAAGGTTCTCATGACAATTGGTGTTTTTGCAAGATTTGGGCCTTTCCTTTTAAATGATTGTAACTGTCAGTTTGGTGAACATCAGAGTGTCCAATGCCACAAGTATCATATTTCTAATTCTTCTGATGATAAGATACAAGATATAAGATAGATATAAGATATGATATGATAAGATGAGATGATAAGATGAGATGATAACCTTTATTGTCATTTTTTACTATGAGCACACTTGCCCATATTAAAAATGAAATTCTGTTGCAGAAAGAGGAAACTTGAGAGTTCACAAGGTTACAAAGCTATGTACATAGCTATGGAAATTAAAACGTGAAACACATTGACAACTATGTACCAACAACCAGAAAGTATGAAACTAGTTATGCTCATCTTTACTTGCATATATTGACTACATTACCAATATAGATGTCCATCTTTTCTAGATCTTCTAATAAAGCACACATAGACATACAGCTCAATTTCTGATGTTTTCAACCAAGGTTGAAGAGTAGAGATTAAGGGCAGGGTACTTTAGACATTCCTACTTTGACACATATAGAATAGTTGGAAAGGTTTGTTTGTGTTTTATCCTCAAAGAAACAGAGTTGGAGCATTTTATGAATCCTAGCTCATCAGTTTTGCTACTAAATTAGTCTTTGCCATTACTCTTCATTCAAGTTTAGCAACATTAATCTGTCCAAGAAATTAATCCCTGGCATATTTCAGATATTTTATTTATTTGTCCAGTTTGTATGGATAAATTATATACATACATCTAATTTATATCTCTGATTTCAAACTTTCAGTCCATCCCATATAGTGACTGGCCAGTTTTCAGTAGGACATTGTCTAGAAGGCATGTTTCACATCAGAAACTGAACAGGAAGATTAATCATTTTTGGGGGATAACAGCATTATTTCTAGATGTAGAGCTATCATTCATTCCTGCAATTTCTGCAGCATTTAGTTCTTGAATTTCTATAATTATGGTATGATCTGTTTTTGCTAGGTTACATGGTGAATTCATTCGGCTATAGACTATTCACACAGGTTTTGTGAAAATAAGGTTACAGGATCTGGGCTGCAAAAAAAAATATTATTTTTAAATACTGTCTCACCACAGGGCACTTAAAGCTCAAAAACAGCAGAATATTATTATAATACAGTTTTTTCTCTATTGGCCATTACATCTGATAGATTATGAATTTCAGTTCATCAAAGTTCAGGACATAATAATTATGTGTTTATGTGTTTATGGTGCCACAAATCTCTTATTTTTGCAGAAAATGACTGAGATCTTTCTGGAAATCTCTGCTTCTAGGAACTTCTCTTCCTATGTATCAGAAAGTAAACAAGCTTTTAAAAATCCCCTTAACCACTAATCTGAATTTTGAAAATAAAACTTGGTCTTTAAGAGTGAAGTATTATTTGTTCTTGATGTAGCTGTGGATTTCAGAGAACGTTGGCTTTGGAATCTCTATTGGAGTAGCGGTTAAAAAGGGAAATTCTCCTGGATATCTGTTTTGGAATATATAATGTAGGCAGATATTCTTTGTATTTCCTAATGTTATGCAAAGGCATTTTTTTTAATATATGGAAGCAGATGCAACAAAACAGTTTTCTTGTTTTCATCATTTTAATGTCTATAAATAGGAAATGGCTGTCAAATATAAATAAACTCTGCGTATATCTTAGAAAAAAAATATTAACAAGAAATCTACATATATCATTATCATTACTAATGATGTCTTGCTATAGATAGTTTGGATCCATATACATATATTTATCTTCTATGAATTCTGCATTTTTAAGATATATTGACAATTCACTCTTTTCCCTCCCTAAAATTTACAATCCTTTCAATGATTATTCAGAACTAACTCCATGTTTCCATGGAACATAGTCTCAAGTAAAACTGCAGAATTATTCAGTATTGCACCACTTTAAAAGCTGCCTGGAGAGGCCCCCAGTGTCTTTCATCTGCTCACCAGATGAAAACTTTTACTGACAAAACTTTAATCCTGAACATCTATTGGAATCATTTTTGCTGTATCTAGAAGAACATATAACCTTTTTCTATTACAGACTAACAAATTACCTTATCATATAAAGAGGGGAGTGAGGGAAAAGCTAGTCAGAGGGAAAAGCTAGCTAGTTTGCTTTATAAACTAGAGACAGGCTCTTCTTACAATGTGTACAATTACCCAGCAAGCCATAACCCAGTGTTTCTCAACCTTGACAATTTTAAGGCATGTGGACTTCAACTCCCAGAATTCCACAGCCAGCATTGCTGGCTGTGGAATTCTGGGAGTTGAAGTCCACATGCCTTAAAATTGTCAAGGTTGAGAAACACTGCCATAACCTAATCAGATCTTCTTAGTAAAGGCTCTGGCAGTAGACAATCACTCCAAGATCAAAAGTCAACTGGCTTTGGATTGCCCTCTATCCATTTTTTCCAAGATGTCTGGTTACTCCTGGAATCTTGGCACCAGGAAAGTACTAATAAGGTTATAAATATCATTAGTCAACTTTCTATTGATCAGGCGGGGAGCAGTTGATATGTTGACTGTTGAAGGGCATAAATATTGGGACATATGTTTTGGACTGCCAGGCCTTGGCAATAAATTCTGTAATGCAATTTTTTTCCTTTTTTAGCCACTTCTTTGTTCTCTTTTCTTCAGAGGACTACAAGCATGGATTGCTGACTTGATTTAGGTATTCTCAGGATATAGCTGACTTGATGGAGTCATTTAACTCTAGGCAAATTGAGTTATTTAAAGCTGAATTTAACCCTCTTATCTGGATTAATTGCCTTCTTTTTGCTGACTGGAAGTCACCAAAAGTGCCTCACTGGACTAGATAAATTGCTATAAAAACAGGACCATATTCTAGCAGATTTTTTTAACAGAAAAAATGAAGAGTAGCTTAGGTGTGGTTAACTAAACCAAGGTAATATGGGTTAGGTATGTAATAAAAATGACTTCTTCCATTCAGATTACATTGAATAAATGATCTTTTTATTCATTTTTAATAGCCCTATATAAGTATATCCTGTCCATCCAGAAAGACCACTCAAGAAAATGTGCTTTGTGATAAACCAGTAGGCAGTCATGTTTTGGTGCAAGTTTGTCATAGACCAGAATACATATGTGGACTCCATGGTGGATGGTACGAAATAAAAAATAACCCAAACAAAATCTCGTCCTTTACTTTTGTACTTAATTTTATTGGTAAGGACCTGGGAATAGAAGATAGTTTAGATTGTCTTAGGACATAGTGTTAAGAACAGGAAGGTAAAAAAGAGGATGGCATGAAATTAAGAAGTTTTAAAACTATCTGAATGAAACATTAGGATCAGAGAGGATTCTTGGCAGAATCAAAGTGTTACCATGGTTAAAATGGATTAAACAGCTCTGAGAGTTGTTGAAGATGGACCATATATTATTGGTTTCCATCCAGAGTAGAATTAATCAATAAATCTCAAATGAAGTGATCAATTTCCACTAATTAAGTTTTATGGGATCCTGGGTGAGGCCAGAAGAAAACACATGAGATGTTTAAGGGAGAAGGAGAAGGAAATATGTTGAAGAGGAAAAGTACTATGGAAAGTCCAGTTAGATAACCCAAACATTTATCTGGAGTTGGAGGAACAGAGCACAAGAGCAAAGCTTTGCCTGCCAGATACTCTCCCATCATCTCTGTAGCTTGAGACTGGTTGGTACTATTTGTTAAGGTCTTTCCTTAGACTGGTAAAATAGTAATAGTGCGAAGAGTAAGGTCTGTAGATGGTGCACATATATTAAGCCCACATCATATTGTGTCTAGAATTGCTTTCTTAAAGTGCTTTGATAGCACACATACTGTAGATCTAGACTATGACAGCCTCTCATTTTGGAAAAGGGAAATTGTCTGTTAAAGAATGTAAGATAATGTTGAAACTGGTAAAACTACTTGTCTGCTCAAATAAAATTTAGCTTTTATCCAAATGGTTGATTTAGTTCTTTGTATTTTACTAAAATAAGAGAAAAATCTGTGATTTAATTTTGTTGTTGTCATCGTTGTTGCACTAGTTCGCAAGCATCCAAGGTCCTCCACCACACATCAGTCGCTGGCAACAGATGAAACAATACTTCAGGAGCAATCTAGTGGGCAGACACTTTCAGGGCTGGGGAGGTAAGTTTGGTGCCCTGCATTACCCTCTTAAAAAAATGAAAATAGAATCAGAGTTGGAAGTAGGCATATAAGCTACCAATTTCCATTTCCCCTTGTGCCTGTAAGATCTTCACAGAAGTTGCTCCCGGTCTCCATAAACACATTCAGTGGAAAGGGACCCACCATCACTCTTGGTAACTATTGTCAAACTGCTTTCAGAAGTTTATTTTAATATTCAAATCCCACACCAGGCAAGCCAATACAGTATATTAGTTAATGTGTGGGAGTAGGTTTGTTTATCTAAATCTTTCTTAAATTGATGAACTGAATACAATGCTTCAGTAGAATGCCATATTTTGTTCTACCAAAGCAAAACAAGTGTTATTTCTTATCATTTAGAGATTATACTTCTTTTGAAAACATAAAATTATGTTTTCTGTGGCCTCAAACACATGCAATCCATTGCTATTGGAATTGTACTTTTACCAAACCACACAAAACCTGTTTTTTATTTCTGAAATGAATGTTGGATTTGCCTATTAAATACCATTAAATCATTTTCAGATTTATCTAAATTAGCTGATTTCTATTAAGATCATTTTAAAAATTTTATTTAGCTCTCCCAGCCAATTTTGTTTTATTTGCAGAAAAAAAGCTCTCTTTTGTATATTAAATGTTGGCAAGATATGGGAGTCTAATGGCATTTTATTTATTAGATCTTTTATATGCCTTTCATTCAAATCTTGTACACCTACCTACTATCTACAGTGTAATTCAGAATTTCATATAGCAATTAAAATTATTTAAAACTTGCAGCATAAAAGTTCTAAAGTAAAAGGCTTGGATAAAAAATACATTTTATACCTCCTCCTAAAATTTAACAAACAAGTCAGACTTTGGTTACCAATTATTTAATAGAATATGAAATAACTGGCTAAAATTTCATATTCTATTAAATTTATATTTTCAGGTACTGAATACCTAAACAGATTGAACCAAAACCTTTCTGGATAATTTTTATGAGATTTGTCTAATTGAGAAGAATATTTGAATCTTACTGAGGATCCAGCTGACATTTATCCATAGTTTGTACACCAGGTGCCTGAGTGTACTGCTAACCATAGTAGTGTAAATCTTAGAATTTTGCTCTTTTCAGCTCTGTAGTTATATTTTTATTTTATTTATTCATTTATATCCTGCTTTTATATATACAGCATAGCTTTTACCCGTCTATGGACAGTTTTGTTAAGAATTAATTTTTAACACAAAAACACATGTAGGAAGGAAGAATTAGACATCGTTGTTACTGGCTTTTTCAACATTTCCATTTCCAACAGTAGCAATATTTTAAAATTCACTTAAAAGAAAAACAATCTGAATTCCACAATATGCCCAAATCATCTATTTCATTTCCAATTAAAAACGGAGCCAAGTAAAAATAAATAAATAGAGAAATGAGTTTTGGTCCACTTGTAGAGCTTTCCTTCTTCCCAGTTTTGAATTGGTGAGTGACAATTTAGGAAAGGGCAGATTCATTAAAGTTTTCCACAGTATTATATCTCTTACATTATTCCAGACTTTGTAGGTTAATGGTAACCTACCACTATAATACAATATGCAATATGGAAAAATGGATTTAAATTATACAGTGCAGACATCAATTTGTTTAATATCCTGCCTCTAGTGTTTTCCACAACCCTCTAGTTGAATAGATTTGGGAGACAGCAAATTTCCTTGGCTGAGAATGATTTTCCTATCAGGCACATAATATTACATTTGTTAGATTACAGATAGTCCTTGGCTTACAATTCAGTTACAACAGCACTGGAAAAAGTGACTTATGACTACTTTTCACACTTAACGACCATTGCAGCATTGCCATGGTCACGTGATCAAAAGTCAGATGCTTGGCAACTGACTCATATTTATCGTGGTTGCAGTGACCTGGGGTCATGTGATCATCTTTTACAACCTTCTGATAAGCAAAGTCAATGGGAAAGCCAGATTCACTTAACAACTGTGTTACTAACTTCATAACCGCAGTGATTCACTTATCAGCCATGACAAGAAAGGTAGTAAAATGGGGCAAAACTCACTTAACGCTTTTCGGTAGAAAAACTACCAAAGAAGCATAGCAGAAAACAGGATAGATTAATCTTTGTTTCTTCCATAATAATATAATAGTTTTTTGAAAGTGGCATTTCCCATCTGCTGTCTAAAGTGAGGCATTCCACCGTTTTATTATTGCTCGGCAGAAGCCATGGGGGAAGTTGAGCCTTTCTGCTCACGTTTTACCTTGTTTGTTTGTTTTCAGATCTCTACTCTGATTTTGAGTTGCAGCTCCCAGTCTTATTTTGATAAGATAATTCAGCCAGGATGAAGAACTGTCCTAACAGAATTTAATGGTTACTATAAACCACAAACATATTTGAAGATTTCCCTTTACATACATGAAGAAGATGGGTGATAACTTTGTGTGGACTTTTAAACTATTGTGAAGAAAACGGAGGTGTTCTCTTTTGCAGTGGGGTTTTGTCTGTCATTTATGCTATGGTATTGTTATGATTCTTTTAGTTCTTTGAACTGTTTTTGGTCTTATTTATAAAAGGTGGTATGGAAGCTTGGTGTCAATAACAATTGGAGAAGCATGTAAACCCAACAAAAATAATGATCAAAACGTTATGTTGTACTCATATAATCATCAGGGTACAGCGCAACCTGGGGAACTTTTTTTAAAAAAAATAACTTCCTGTACTGTAAAAGTAATGCCCTGAAAAAAATCTACAATTAGTCCAAAATTTATTAATCTTTGAGAACTGATCCTTGCAAGGTATGATTTTAGCATAATAAAGAGATGTTCTCTTATTTCCTAGTCATTCCATGCATTTAATAGCAGAAGAATGCAGGCTATTAATATTGTTCTGAAACATGGTGATTCCTAGGAATAATAGTGCGCCTACTACGTAGGTAAATGTAGCTTTTCATTTTGGAAACTTCCCTTAAATGGATCTTGAACATAAATAACCCTGCTCAGTTATAATGGAAATTATAATTTATGGAAATTATGTAACTTAACATGGTGCTATAAAATAATCTAGAATTAATAAATGACATGCAAAATTTGTATAGATTTAGATTTTAGATTTTAGATTTTATTAAATTTATACCCCGCCCTTCTCCCGGAGGACTCAGGGCGGCTTACAGCCAGTTTAAAACAGTAATACAATACAAAATTTAAAAAGATTAAAAATAAATATTTAAATTTGGCCGCTTCTACTAAAAATTTAATTTAAAACCCCTTTAAAATACCCCTAGGCCAGTCCTG